ATGAATATATAATTATTTTTATAAAATATTATTTTATATATCATTTTACATTCTTCAAAAGATATATTTTGACTATAAAGATACATAAAATTTATCAGGATTTCCAGTGAAATATATTTATGATTATTGCAGCGTATTGAAAGATGAGCGCGAAAAATATACAGATATATACATGTATAATATATATCGCCTGATTGATCATTTGGATTCGTAAACTGGAGAGAAAGTCAAAAGAGGGGTGTTAAACGACGTGGCGATTAGCACGTCATGGAAACAGTTAAGGTCGATTGAGCGTGAAAGGGAGACGGTTTGCTTTTTGCTAACCGATAAATGAAAGCGAAAAGCATTCGCGACCAATTACGGAATGGATACTTCTTTCTGTGGTCCGATCGACCGGCGTTTGCGTTTTATCATTGCGGTGATTTGAAAGAAGGTAGCTATTACAACTGTTAGTATCCTCAATTCTCTATGCAATAGGCTTCTATTTTCACGATGATTTTGATTACATTTTATTTACGTAACATATTCTATGAAGTAGCTCTTGTATTTTAAATCCACACACACGTACACACAAACACACACGCGTGCGCGCAAATATATTTCTATATTATTTTTTTAAAATACAAACTACAAAAAATATAAAACTGAAAGAAACTTTATAATAACTGTCTTTAGTTAAAAAAACTGTTAATTGAAATTGTGTATACCGTATAATAATATCTATAACATTATAATCTAAAATGCTTATTTACAATAATGTTCTTATTAATTTGGCATTATTATATTATTATTATTATATAATGTTTTAAATAATATAAAAATAATTCTTTTATTTATTTAAATTTATTTTTCTAATTTTTTATTAATTTTTGTACTTATTAGGTGTGCAATAAAATAATCCAAATTTTTTTACTGATTTTATCATTTAAAATTAGAAATATTTTTCTGTCTCTTTTTGTGGTCATATGAAAAGTATTAATAAATTAGTGCTTACTTTTACAATTGTAATTAATATAGATTTTAATAAAAAATAATTTTTTAATTTACTAAAAACTGATACAAAATTAAATTACAAAGAAACTACAGCATCTTTTACTTATAATATTAATATTATCTAATTATTTTCTAATTGCCAAAGCTTTAAAAATAATTTAATAATGATAAATATTACTTATAATATTGTGTAAATAATTATAAATAATTATAATTTACTTATAATATTGTAAGAAATATTTTTCTACAATTAATATTTATCACTATTAAATTATTTTTAAAGCTTTGGCAATTAAAAAATAATTTCATTAATTAAAATTTTATCAATTTATGATTGTCGTTTTATATATTGAAGATTTTATTTATTGAAGATGTATACCGTTAGGCATTCTATTACACGTATGCTAAGAATCCATAAAATAATTAAATTAACTCATGTTATATTAACAAAATTAAAATTAAAATTTAAAAAGTTACTATATAACCAAAAAGATATATACTTTGGCATTTTATTTGTCAAGGTTCAAACATGTGACACATTAAAAGATAAAATTGTCACATAATCTAATAACCTAGTATTTTTAGTGTAATATCAATAATAGAAAAATAATCTAACAATTTTGAATCTTTGAAACTGTATCGACTACATTAAGTAATCGATGTTGTGAATTTATGTCGGCAGTTTTTCTTTTCTTTATTACATCACAAACTTGTTAGGGTCTTCAAATTAAATATGATTTTCCGTGCAATTTAAAAGTATTACGAATAAGTGAAATAATGCATTATAAAGTAATGTTAATAGAAAAATAGCGAATTAATAATTTTCTTCTGTATTTTCGTTGCCCTCAATCGACTCCTGTAAAATGTACATTATTTATCAAATTTTAATTTTGATTTTTCTTTAGTAATTTAGATGACGTACTGATAATGCAATAAATTCTATATGCGCATATATGTTTAAACATTTATACTGTACTTATATACTGTATAATTTTAAGTTGTTCTTTAAAGTGTAGAAAGTGAATCAATACTTATTAGCATTTTCACACAATATCTTGGACATTGTGACAGTTACAAAAAGTTTCTTTAATAAAATTTGTATGACCGAATAATATTTATTATTTAACACAATTGATCTTTTTACTCTTTATGTCCAAAATTTAAAAATAAATTTTTTTTTTAATAAATATTATATCTTTATATTTTATTTATTTATTTATTTATTTTATTTATTATTTATATTTAAAGCACAATTAGTTGCATTATATAATGGGGTCTCTTTTAGTATATAATTCTTTTTAGAAGAAATTTTATGTAACTTTTATAGCTTACAAGATCTCGAAGACATTCACAGTTATTGGATTATTTTGTGTACTCGATAAGAAATTCATTATATGTACTTTACTCACATCGTTTCTTGTATATACAACCTGGTAATGGTTTAGTTGTACACGAGGTTGATCGGATTCAGAACGCCGACGATAATGATGAATATAGTCAGATATGTCAATTTCATCCAAGTCATAGAATAGCCAATATCTGTGTTCAAAATTATTGTTAATTATTCTCATTTTAATCAAGCGTAACGAGTTATTTATATATATGTAATAATCTAATAACTTCGAGAATATCAGGATATAAAAAAGTGATTTGATAGATAATATAAAACATAACTATCGCTTATATCTATATGTATATATATCATATATATCATATCTATTCGCTTCGTTTTTAAAAGAAAAAATGTTAACATTTTTTGTGCAAATTTTTGAATTTGCCGTTTAGTAAATCTTTTACATTCTTATCTCTTATCCTTTAATTGTTTGTATTTTATATTTAATTATAAAATTAATTCACATATATATTTAAAAAATCAACTTACGGACAATAGTGCTCAATTATAATAATTACTAAACAAAAAGTGAAAGCAGCACAAAACAAGGTAAATGGTATAGGAATTATGCCATCTACCATTATTAATTTTACTTTTTTCACTGTGTTTGCATCATCTTTCAATGTAATGTCCGAAGTAGTTTCTTGTTCATTTTTATTTTCTTCACTATTTGACGTATATTTCACAATCGTTGCAGTTTCTGCAGAAAAAATAAATTAAATTGATGATTAATTATATACGTAACTAATGCGCTAACTTCTTTAATAATATAAATTTTTATTTAATTAATGTACGAAGTTATAAGATTTTACTATTAGTGAATTTTCTTGGCTAAATATAAAAATTTATATTGACAAAATATACCGCTAAATAGTTGAAATTTATTTTTGTTAAATTTGTTGATATTAAATTAAGTTTGTTAATAAGTTTGTCTACAATTAATATTATAATATTATAATATTATAATATTATAATTAGTAAATTTTTAAAAATGAAAATAAGTACTTAAAAGATAAATCTTTTTAAATAAAAAAAAAATATTTATACAAATATTATCTTTCTAGTTTAAAATATGTGAAGAAAATAATTAAGGAAATGGAGAATGTTTTATGTGTATAATATAAACAACTATACCTGAAATTAAAATGATGAAGATGACAGTCCATAAGATTTTCGTTAAAATGTGCATTCTGAGACTTAATTTGACTTTTTTTCTTTTGAAAATTTAACAAATCAGCGTTATAAATAAAAAAATGTTTTTGAATTATTATTGTCGCAATGTTTTTTTAATCGTCAGAATTTATTCATGTAAATATCTCAAATTTATCCAAAATAGAAAAGATAATTGATTTTTGGTATGATATATTTCATGAAATCTTAAACTGTAAAGATAAAATTAGAATACATTTTGTGCGCATATTGTGCGCAGGCCCTGCGCACAATAGAGAAAATAGGAATAGGAATAAATATTAAATATTAAGAATAGAAAATTGGAATTATTTCATTTCAGAACAAGAAAATGGGATGTATTAACGTACTATGAATTAAAAATTAAGAATTAGAAATGACTAATATATTTTGTTCTTTTGTTTGAAGTAAAATAATTCCAAATTCTTCTTCCTAATATTTAATAATTATTCCGGTTTTAATATTTTTTCTATTGCGCGCAGGACCTTAGATTTGAGTTCATGTTGTGTACAAATGTTTGTCATATGTAGTGTATTATTGTCGTAATTAAAATAGCGTTTAATTAAAATGGAAATAGTTAAATTAATAACAAAATATCACATAATACCTGCAATATGTCAAAAACAGTAAACAGATATATGAAAATTTAATTTGATGATATGTGACAGTTATTACATAAATAATGATTACCGATGTCGGCTAGTATATAGAAAACACATTTTAAAGAAATTTAACAGAATATTTTGTCTTGGTAGCAATGATTGCAATACAAGATTATTAAATAACGCCACATTATTATCAAATACATAAAACTCACGTAAAATACATGAAACTCTCGACGCTAATTAATATATTAAAACATTACTCAACTGATTTCATGTAAAATTTGGAAGCTTTACAATATTTCTTCGTTTAATTAGAAATTTTCTTATGGCTGCGTTCTCTGAACGACACTACGATAATGAAAAGCAATCGGCTCGTCATGTTCACGCATTCAACTTGATTGGTTTGTTTTCATAAAATGTTATTAACTGCCCGTTGTCGAATACAAATTTGTTTATTCTGAGAAGCTCGTCTTTCAAAGTGCGTCTCGTTATATTACACATCAGTATCGCATCTATACACGTATTTTGTTTTTGTTAATAGAAATTTTGAAATTGTAGAATTTATATTACTCTTTCTCTCTTATCTAATAGTAATATAATAAAAGTTTCTTTTTACTTTTTAATCAATCTGCTCAGATAAATTTCTTTACATATATCAGCAAAAAATTTATACTTTGGCATTTTATTTTTTTAGAGTTCATGAAATGTGATAGACACATTAAAAGATAAAATCATAATATAATCTAATAATTTAGTCTTTATTAATACCAATAATAGAAAATTTTAACAATTTTATCATAAAGCTGCATCTACTACATTAAGTAATCGATGTTGTGAATTTATGTCGATAGTTTTATTTCTCCTTCTTTTACACCATAAACTTTTGAAGACTTATTAAGTCCGAATCAAATTAAATATAATTTTTAATGCATTTTAAAAGTATTATCAATAAGTGAAATAATGCATTATAAAGTAACATTAATAGAAAGATAGTAAATTAACAATTTTCTTCTGTATTTTCGTTGCCCTCAATCGATTCCTGTAAAATGTACATTATTTATGAAATTTTAAAACAATAAATTTTTGCTTAGTAATTTAGACGATGTACTGATAATGTACTTCTATATGCGCATATATGTTTATGTTTAAACATTTATAATGTACTTATATCAATACTCATTAGCATCTTCAATGTTCTAGACACTATGATAGTTACAAAAAAAAATTTTTTTTTAACAAAATTTTTATGGCCAAATAATATTTATTATTTATATAATACAATTGATTTTTTTCTGCATTTATGTCCAAAAATTAAAAATTAATTTTGTTTTTTTTTAAATAAATACTATATCTTTATATTTCTTATTACTTATTTATTTATTTATTTTATTTATTATTTATCATTTATATTTCAAACACAATTAGTTGCATTATATAATGGGGTCTCTTTTAGTGTACAATTTGTTTTAGAAGAAATTTCATGTAATTTTTATAATTTACAAGATCTCGAAGACATTCTCAGTTATTGGATTATTTAGTGTATTCGATATATAATTCATTATATGTATTTTACTTACATTTCTTCTTGTATATACAGCCCGGTAATGGGTTAGTTGTCGGACACGAGGTTGATGAGATTGAGAACGACGAAAAAGGTGAGACATATCAGGCACATATAAATTATCACGTAGCAAATTTCTGTGTTCAAAATTATTTGTTTTTATAATGATAATTATTTGTTTTTATAATGATAATTAATATTTTTATTTATTTCGGCAGTTTTATAATATTAAATATTAATTAAGCAAAATATAAAAATGTTAACATTCTTTTGTTTAAATTTTTGAATTTGTCGTTTAGTAAATCTTTTACATTCTTATCTTTTATCTTTTAATTGCTTGTATTTACATTTAATTAAAAAATTAATTTACGTATAGGTATATTTATAAAAATCAACTTACGGGCACCAGAACCAAATCACAATCATAATTAATAATAATATTAAAGTAAACATAAAGAAAAAAAATGTGAGAGGAACAATTGTCTCTTGTAGAAATAATTCATTAAGATCAAATTTTACTTTTTTCACTGTGTTTATATCATATATCAATGTAATATTCAAAATGTTTTTTTCTTCATTTTCATCTTCTTTACTGTATGATGTATGTTTCACAAACATTGTAGTTTCTGAAAAAAATAATTCAAATTGATGATTAATTATATACGCAACTAATTCATTAACTTCTTTAATTATATAAATTTTTATTTAATTAATGTTGTAAGTTATAAAATTTTACTGTTAGTGAATTTTCTTGGCTAAATATAAAAATTTATATTGATAAGATATACCACTAAATATTTGAAATTTGTTTTTATTAAATTTGTTAATATTAAATTAAGTTTGTTAATTTCTACAATTAATATTAGTAAATTTTTAGAAATAAAAATAAGTACTTAGAAAATTAATCTTTTTGAATGAAAAAAAAATTTTTATACAAATATTATTTTTCTAGTTTAAAATACGTGAAGAAAATAATTAAGGAAATGGAAAATGTTTTATGTGTATAATATAAACAATAATACCTGAAATTAAAATGATGAAGATGACAATCCATAAGGTTTTCGTTAAAATGTGCATACTGACACCTAATTGACTTTTTTTCTTTTGAAAATTTAATAAATCAACGTTATAATTTAAAAAATGTTTTTGAAGATTATTGTCGTCGGAATGTTTTTTTAATCGCCAGAATATATTGATATAAATATTTCTAATTTATACAAAATAAAAAAGGAAAACTTGATTTTTGGTTTGATATACTTGATCGAATCTTAAACTATAAAGATAAAATTGGAATACGCTGAGATTAGAATTTACATATTGTGTAAAAATGTTTGGCATAAATAGCGTATTTTTGTCGTAATTAAACTAGCGTTTAATTAAAATGGAAATAGTTAAATATTAATAGGTAAATATTAATTAATAATTGAATATAAAGAAAAATATCCGTAGTGTGCCAAAAACAGTAAACAGATACATAATATGTGACAGTTACTACATAAATAATGATTACTGATATCGGCTAGTATATAGAAAACACACATTTTAAAGAAATTTAACAGAATATTTTGTCTTGGTAGCAATGATTGCAATACAAGATTATTAAATAACGCCACATTTTTATCAAATGCGTAAAATTCTGGAACGCTAATTAATATATTAAAACATTACTCAACTAATTTCATGTAAAATTTGAAAGCTTTACAATATTTCTTCGTTTAATTAGAAATTTCCTTATGTCTGCGTTCTCTGGACGACACTACGATAATGAAGAGCTATCGGCTCGTCATGTTCACACATTCAACTTTTATTGGTTTGTTTACCTAAAATCTTATTAGCCGCCCGTTGTCGAATACAAATTTATTTATTCTGAGAAGTACGCCTTTCAAAGTACCTCTCGTTATATTACATATCAGTATCGCATATACTGTACGTATTGTGTTTTTGTTAATAGAAATTTTAAAATTGTAGTAATTTATACTTTTATAGTCATTTGTAAAATCTTCTTATATAAAAAAATTTTTTGAAATAGCAAACATTTCTATTTTTTGCAATGTAATCTGTCATTTAATGCTATTTAATTACAAATTTTTTGAGCTAATATTTGACTTAAATTCTCATTCATACATATAAACGCTATTTTTTATCATGGTTTTTAACAGATATTTTAATTGATTATTCTTTCTTTTTACTTAAATATCTAATTTATTATCTTTTTCTTAGCTCCATAAAATTAGCACTTAATATAAAATATAATACTGTAAAAACCATCCGTCATATTTGTTATATTAACAGTGAATATTATTTACAATTTAATTCGTGTATTGAAAGATAGCAACAAATTCCTTTTTTTATTCTTACTTTTATAGATTTTATATATCTACGTTTCTCTGGAATTTTATGTGCACCATAATCAAATTAATACAAATTTAATGAACGTTTGTCGAAAAATTTTAATTGTTACTAATGAAAATAGCGGAATCGCTACAAAAGTGAAATTTTATGTTTTGATTAATTTATCGATCATCATCTGACAAAAATTTACGTCTCGTTCATTGATTATTAAAGCAAAATTTTATTTGTTACATTAGCGTATACTTTCAGTAATATAAAAAATGATTCGAATCCGGTTATGGTGTGTTATTTTTATCTGCAAAATAGAGTGGAAAGAGTGTATTTGCGTTCGGAATATCATAGTTTTTAATATGCACCTGATATCGATACAATTCTCAGCAATTTGAAAGTCGCTATTTGATTCAGTTGGAGTCGTAAAAAGAAACAGAAACATAATCCCATGCAAAAGCTAGCAGTTTTTCGAAATTGTCTAATTTATGAAAATTTTTATTACTCTGGAATATGTACGTAATCTGCACATTGTTAGTAATTCGCCCGATCCTAAGAAAAAAGGAAAGATCGTTCATTTGTTGACTCGATGGTTTGTTGGTATGTCGAAAAAATGGGAGATAAATTTTACGAAGAAAAATCTTCTCACGACAACGTGAAAAGTAATCCACGCGAGGACACGATATGGAAATGTCTTCATGAGTTAAATAACGTGGCTTGTCGCATAAATTTTGAGGATGTCTCAATGGACAAAGATTGAAATGGTGTGCGATAAATGCCTTAATTATTACAACTATCGCGCTCGCTTTTACTGCCGCAAATTACACTTATCTCGACACGAAATGGATAGATATGCAAAAAGAGCATATGCTCGTATAATGTCGCGATATTTCAGGTAGAATCGACAAACGACGTTGCGTCTCGAAATAGGCAGGATTCGCATTCGTACGACTTGCATACAGCGCTCACTCAGGCGCTTAAAATTGACGATAGAACAAAATTATTTATAAGCCTCATTATTCGAGCTTAAAATTTTCTTTACTTAACATATTTTATTAAGTAAATCTTGTATTTTAAAGGCACACACACGCGCGCGCGCGCAAGCGCGTTTTTCTATATTATTTTTTTTAATGCAAACTACAAGAAATATACAAATAAAAAGAACTGCTTTTAGTTAAAAGAAATTGTTAAATAAAATTGTGTATACCATATAATAATATCTATAATATTTTAATCTATAATGCTTATTTATAATAATGTGCTTATTTATTTGGCATTATTATACAATGTTTTAAATAATGCCAAAGTATTTCTTTTATTTATTTAAATTTTTTTTAAATATTTTATTAATTTTTGTCCATATTAGGTGTGTAAAAAAATAATCAAAATTTTTTTACTAATTTTATTATTTAAATTCAAAATATTTTTTCGTCTTTTTATGTGATTATATAAAAAAGTACTATTAAATTAGTGCTTACTTTTACAATTGTAATTAATATAGATTTTAATAAAAGATAATATTTTAATTTATAAAAAACTGATTAAAAATAAAATTACAAAGAAACTACACAACATCTTTTACTTATAATATTAACAGTTTATAATATTACATTATAATATTAACAGTACATAATATTACAGTAAATTATAATTATTTAAAATTGTTTACATTTATTTATAATTATTTATTTATAATATTACAAGAAATATTTTTCTACAATTAGTATTAGATAACCAAAAAAGTTCATGCGGTTTTTTACAATAAAAATTAAACAAGTGCAAAAGTTTTCATAAAATGTTTTATTCATTAAAGTAAGTATTTTTGCAATCTACAACCTTTCTTTAACGAGATACAAGTTTGTAAATTCCGTCTTTATAAGGCGTTGTGTCTTTAAAAGTAAAAAATCCAGCAACCTCTGTTTCAATCTTTATTTTGCATATGAAACTGTCTGTTTCGCATGTAAAAAAAACTTTGAAAAATATACACGAACTTTTTAGGGTTACCTTTATATTTGTCAATTATTAAATTATTTTGAAAACTTTGACAATTAGAAAATAATGCCATTAATTAAGACTTTATCAATTTATGACTGTTTTATATATTATAGATTTCATTAACACAGTTAGTCATTTTGTCACATGTATGCTAATAATCAAAATAAAAAAAGTAATTAAATTAACTTATATTAACAAAATAAAAATTTTGATGTATAAGCAAAAAATTTATACTTTGGCATTTTATTTTCCATAATTCAGAAATGTAACACATTAAAAGATAAAATTGTCATATAATCTAATAATCTAGTATCTGGAGTGTAATACCAATAATAGAAAAATAATCTAACAATTTTATTTTTGAAACTGTATCCACTACATTAAGTAATCGATGTTGTGAACTTATGTCAGCAGTTTTACTCCTCTTCCTTTTACACCACAAACTTGTTAAGACTTGTTAAGTTTGAATTAAATTAAATGTGATTTTTCATGCATTTTAAAAGTATTACAAATAAATGAAATAATGCATTATAAAGTAACATTAATAGAAAGATAGGGAATTAATAATTTTCTTCTGTATTTTCGTTGCCCTCAGTCGACTCCTGTAAAATGTACATTATTTATAAAATTTTAAAATAATAAATTTTTGCTTAGTAATTTAGATGACGTACTGATAACGTACTTTTATATATGCGCATATATGTTTATGTTTAAACATTTATAATGTACTTATATCAATACTCATTAGCATCTTTAATGTCTTGGACTATGACAGTTACAAAAAAAAATTTTTTTTAACAAAATTTTTATGGCCAAATAATATTTATCATTTATATAATACAATTGATTTTTCTCTGCATTTATGTCCAAAAAATAAAAATTAATTTTGTTTTTTTTTTTTAATTAATTACTATATCTTTATATTTCTTATTACTTATTTATTTTATTTATTATTTATCATTTATATTTCAAACACAATTAGTTGCATTATATAATGGGGTCTCTTTTAGTGTATAATTCGTTTTAGAAGAAATTTTATGTAACTTTTATAATTTACAAGATCTCGAAGACATTCACAGTTAATGGATTATTTTGTGTATTTAATATATTATATAATTTATTATATGTATTTTACTCTTACATTTATTCTTGTACATACAACCTGCAAATCGTTTAGTTGTTGGACATGAGGTTGATCAGAATAAGAACGACGATAAAGTTGAAGATGGTAAGGTATATCAAACACGTATGTACGAAACCAATGTCTGTGTTCAAAATTATTATTAATTATTTTCATTATAATCGAACGTTACACATACACTCGTATCAAGAATATATATGTATAGCGTATATATATGCAAATAATCTTATTACTTTGAGAATATCAGAATACGGAAAAGTATTGATAAATAATACAAAAAATAACTATCGCTTATATCTATATATATACATATAGCGATATATATATATATATATATATATATATATATATATATATATATTGCTAAATTATTTGTCTTTATAATAATAATTCACATTTTTATTTATTTTAGCAGTTTTATAATATTAAATATTAACTATTATAAGTAAAACATAAAAATGTTAACATTTTTTTGTCTAAATTTTTTAATTTGCCGTTTAGTAAATCTTTTACATTTTTATCTTTTATCTTTTAATTGCATGTATTTACATTTAATTAAAAAATTAATTCACATATAGATATATTTAAAAAAATCAACTTACGGGCAACGGAACCAAATCACAGTTATAATTAATAATAAAATTAAACAAGTCATAAAGAAAAGAAATATAATAGGAAACATTATTTCCCGTATGGATTTCACTTTTGTTGTTGTGTTTATATCATCTCTCAATGTAATGTTTAAAATGTTTTTTTTTATATTTTTATTTTCTTTATTGTATGATGTATGTTTCAAAATCATTGCAGTTTCTGAAAAAATAAATCAAATTGATGATTAATTATATACGTAACTAATGCTAAATTATATACGTAAGCTAAATTATATACGTAACTAATAAATTAACTTCTTTAATAAGACAAATGTTTTTTTAAATTAATGTTGTAAGTGATAAAATTTTACTATTAATAAATTTTCTTGGCTAAATATAAAAATTTATATTAACAAGATATACCGCTAAATATTTAAAATTTGTTTTTATTAAATTTGTTAATATTAAATTAAGTTTGTTAATTTCTACAATTAATATTAGTAAATTTTTAGAAATAAAAATAAGTACTTAGAAAATTAATCTTTTTGAATGAAAAAAAAATATTCATACAAATATTATCTTTCTAGTTTAAAATACGTGAAGAAAATAATTAAGGAAATGAAGAATGTTTTATGTGTGTAATATAAACAACTATACCTGAAATTAAAATGCTGAAGATGACAGTCCATAAGATTTTCGTTAAAATGTGCATTCTGAGACTTAATTTGACTTTTTTTCTTTTGAAAATTTAACAAATCAGCGTTATAAATAAAAAAATGTTTTTGAATTATTATTGTCGCAATGTTTTTTTAATCGCCAGAATTTATTAATGTTAATATCTCTAATTTATACACAATAAAATAGAAAAAATTGATTTTTGGTTTGATATACTTGATCAAATCTTAAACTGTAAAGATAAAATTGGAATACGTAGTGATTAGAGTTCACATGTGGTGTACAAATGTTTGGCATAAATAGCGAATTTTTGTCGTAATTAAGATAGCGTTTAATTACGATGGAAATAGTTAAATATTAGTAGTTAAATATTAATTAGTAATTAAATATCAAAGAAAACATCCGTAATTTGCTAAAAACAGTAAACGGATACATAACATGTGACAGTTACTACATAAATAATGATTACTGCTGTCGACAAGTATACAAAAAACACACATTCTAAAGAAATTTAACAGAATATTTTGTCTTGGTAGCAATGATTGCAATACTAAATTATTAAATAATACAATTATATGCAAATACATAAAACTCACCTAAAACTTGCGATGCTAATTTATATATATGTATTAAAGCACTACTTAACCGATTATTATATAAAATTTGAAAGCATTATAATACTTCTTTGTTTAATTTACCAATTTGAAATTTCCTTACGTCCGTGGTCTCTGTACGACACTACAATAATGAAGAGTAATCGGCTCGTCATGTTTACGCATTCAACTTTGATTGGTTTATTTACATAAAATCTTATTAGCCGTTTGTTGTCGAATACAAATTTGTTTATTCTCAGAAGGTTGTCTTTTAAAGTCTCGTCGCATCACATCATTATCGCATATATATTCTCTTTGATAATAGAAATTTTGAAATGGTAGAAATTTACTCTTTCAGTCGGTTGCAAAATCTCCCTATCTTAAAAAAATTTCTTGAAATAGCAAACATTTCTGTTTATTGCAATGCAATCTGTTATTCAACGCTATTTAATTCCGAATTATTGGAGCTAATATTTGACTTAAGCTCTTATACAATAAAATAAATGCAGTATTTTATCATGGTCTAATTGATTATTCTTTCTTTTTACTTAAATATTATAATTTATTATTTTTCTCTTAACTCCATAGATGTAAAATTAGCACTTAATGTAAAATATAATACTGAAAACCATTCATATTTCCCATATTATTTACAATGAATATTATTTACAATTTAATTTGTGTATTGAAAGATAACAATAAATTATTTTTTATTTTTACTTTTATAGGTTTTATATATCTACGTTTCTCTGGAATTTTATGTGCGCCATAATCAAATTACAATATAATACAAATTTAATGAACGTTTGGGGAAAAAATTTAATTGTTATCGATGATAATAGCGGAATCGCTATAAAAGTGAAATTTAACGTTTCGATTAATTTATTGATCATCGTCTGACAAAAATTTGTCTCATTCATTGATTATTAAAGCAAAATTTTATTCGCCACATTGTCGTATGCTTTCAATGATACAAAACATTATTTGAATTATGAATTGTATCCAGTAATAATTGTGTGTTATTTTTATCTTTATAAAACAAGATGGAAAGAGTGTAGTTGCATTCACCGTTTTTAATACACACTTGAAATCGATATCATTGTCAGGAATTTGAAAATCGCTATTTGATTCAACTGCAATCATAAAAAGAGACAGAAACATAGTCCCATGCGGAAGCTAGCAATTGTTCGAGATTGTCTAATTTATGAAAATTGTTATCACGCTGGAATACATACGTAATCCGCACTTATTGTTAGTAAATCGCTCAATCGTAAGAATAAAGAAAAGTCGGTAGTTTGTTGGTATATCAAAAAAAATGGGAGATAAATATTATTTTACGAAGAAAAATCTCCGCACGTCAACGGTGAATAGAAATCCACGCGAGAATGCGATATAGAAACGTCTTCATTAGTTAAATATCGTTGCTTGTTGCATAAATTTTGTGGATGTCGTGATATATTAATATTATAATGGTATGCGATAAATTACTCAATAATTACAACTATCGCCATCGCTTTTACTTCTGCAAATTATATTTATTTTAACGCGTATTGAAATGGATAGCAAAAGAGCATATGCTGTTATAATGTCGCGATATTTCAGGTAGAATCGACAAACGACGTTGCGTCTCGAGATAAACGGGATACGCATTCGTACGATTTGCATACGGCGCTCACACAGACGTATAAAATCGACGATAAAACAAAATCGGCGATTATTTATAAGCCTTAAAGCCTCATTGATCAAGCTCGCAAATACCATAAATCTCCCTTTACTACTGCGTTCAATTCTCTTCTCCGTCATGTTTGAGTTCTCTCGATTCTCTGTCTCGTGCGTTTCTTCTTCTAACGAGTAAGATTTCTCCCGATTTCTCGTGGAATAAAAGTTTATCTTCTTCATTGCAATGGCAGAAAATCAGGCTTGTAGAGCTTTGTACCAAGATTTTATTAGGCACAAAGATGTCGTTTTGTATTGTATCGGAAGAGTTACGTATCTGATATCGCGTAATATCGAAGAGACATTGTCGCTTGTTTTGCAATAGTGCCTGCCATTTAATAGAGAAATGTCGCCCGAAGAACGGTAGTACGGCAAATCCCTAAATTAGGCGACACGGTCCGCAGGATCAGGTATCGAATTTCATCCAGCGACATTGCTGTGAGTGGAGTGTTCCCCATCAAGTCTCTGGCTGGTGAATCAAAATTCAACCAGTACGTCAAGCCGTCTGACCATCGCGCAAATGGCGCATGCGGATGAATTATGCAGTGTGTCATGTCGCGGCAAGCGACTCATCAAATGTACACGCGTGTTCGCACATCGGAGGAGACATATCTAGATATAGAAGGTCCGTGCTCCGAAGAGAGTGAACGAACATGCGGGAACGCAAGTTAGGCGTAGAAATTAATGTAACGGGTGAGACGGAAAAGGGGAGCGCGAGTAGACGAATTGTGTTAACCCGAGCTACTGAATCAGAGGACTACTTATCAACGAAATAGAGGCGCGAAGCGTGATTGATTGGTCGGTACCGCGCCTCATTCTGGTAATGTCAGTTTTGAATTTTGCAATTAAGCTTCACCGACGCGCGCCGCGATTAATAATAGAATTCGCGAGCTGCGATTAGCGTCTGGCCAATCAAAGGGAGAAGTGAGCAGATGAGAGAGAGAGAGAGAGAGAGAGAGAGAGAGAGAGAGAGAGAGAGAGAGAGAGAGAAAGAGAAAGAGAGAGAGAAAGAGAGAGAGCCAGCGGATTATTCAAATGCTGGGTAAGCCTTTGAAATCAGCCACTACACGAAAGCCGATGTCTGTTATTTCGTTGTAATTAATGTCGTCGACGTTATAATCGGAACCAATGAATTGCGGCCACTGCGCTATGGATGTTGTACAAATTAGTCGCAGCCAGCGATACAAATAGTATCCCGAATTATCGCATTTTCCATCAATCGCAGAGGGAATTGAAGTAAAAAGCTTAAAAGTTGTTCCGATTTCAAACTGTTAATGAAATTGAAGCATTAATTAATCGTATATTAATTCTTAATTCAAGATGTAGGAAAAATTGTAAACATAATTGGTGATGTGAGGATTCTTTAGATCTTTGACTTCTTTTTTAGTTTTTTATAGACTTTTTTTACCTGATATGGATTATTTTTATTAATATAATGTACCTAGAAATATACAAAAAAATAGAAGACAAAAAAGGTTGTCTTGAATTTAGTATCTTTATTATCTAATCGGTTTTCATGCAAAGAAAAACTAGAAAACTAAGTTCAAACTAAGATAAAAATTTCTTTCTGAGAAATTATAATATAATTATATTTTTAATTATGAAGATTTTTAAATCAAAAATTTTGTTTTTCTATTTAGTGAATTGTTGCAAGTTTTGATAGATTTTAATATAGAACAGTAATATTAACGTTATCATAGAACGCGAGAATTATAAACGTGGCAACAATAGACAAGCAGGCTTTGAAAACATATACGTTTAAGAAAACTGAGTCTTTTTTATAACAAGTTTATAACGAAGTTCCCACAAAATTGCACTTTGCCGGTTACGAATTCGTTTGTGAAACGAAAACTGGGGTCTAGAAAGTAGGCGAAAGAAATCGTGCTCTCCTATCGCGTTTTCCACTGGGATTTCGGCCGATTCTTCCTGACAACGCCAGAAAGAGAAGCAGGAAATGCTAAGAAAGTAAAAGATGAAAGAAGAAACGAGAGAAAGGAAGGAAGAAGAAAAGAAAATGCAAGAGAGCTCGGTAATGCACAAAACTGTCGCCGCCATTCCGCCACTTAATCTTCACTGTGGCAATGAAAACCGCGAGGAAGAGCTAGCTGAAACTATAGAAACGTTTCAAATAGTAAAATAAACAGCACAATAAAATTTGCTCGCAAAAATTTTATTTTATTACAGTCAAACAACGTTCGGTTTTGTTTAATAATTATTATCAAATCCGAAACGTATGTCGATATATAAAACTGAAGAAAATACAGCACGCACACCAAAGCTTCATAGCTCACTGTAATATTAGATTTTATTTTTTAAATATTTTTGATGTCTCCGTAACCGTAGCACTACGACATTATACATTATAATATTCGCATTTGTGTCGCAAGAAAGAAGAAAAGACGAGGGGTAAGCAAACGTGGTTTTTTTTACAACAGGTTTGTAACAAAAGCAATTGCGAAAAAGGAAATGAAAACCAAGCAGAAAGGAAGAGAAGAAGACGAGGACTCAATAACGCACGAAACCCGGCAGGTTGTCCGCGTATCCGCTTCACCACTTAATCTCTGTTCTGGAAATGAAAACCTTGAGGAAAAGAGAAGCAACACAAGAGAATCAAGTCTCGTGTCGAGATGAACGACAACGGGAGAGAATCCGACAACGTTGAGAAGACTGAATAAAGGCAGGGTCAATATTATCACCACAAAAATATTGGCGTACTGTGATTACGACAGAAGTAAAGAAACAAAAATCTTTTGTAAAATGCAAGACACGAAATAATATCACTAATATCATAAATCTCGAAAGGTAAAAAAGTA